GTTTAGAACCCTGATATAACATGGTTAAAACACTGTGCTTGAAGCAGGAGGCAAGGCCAGGGCTCTGCCTCCTTGGCATCCCTCTCCCCATTTCCAGTGGCAGAGTCACTTCGAGAACTCCCTCAGAGCCCTGGGGATTACAGAAGCACAGTTTGAGTATCTCCGGATCCTCAATAAGGTCCAGGCCCTTAGTACAGAACCCAAAGTCCTTCCCCAGTGGCTCTCCCTGGCTTGATGCACTACAGGTGCTCTCATCATGGCCTGGCCCAGCAGGCTCTCACCTGGAAGACCCTCCTTAAAATCCCCAGTCAAATGTTCCCTCCTCCAGGAAGCCCTCTAGTTGCCTCAGCCCTGCAAGAGCTCCATGCTCTCTTCCTGGCCGCAGGGGCCAGGCAAATGCCAGGCCTTAATTCAGGCCCCCCAGGAAGCCCATGAGCTTTTCTTTCTCCTAAAATTCTGGTCGTAACCCCTCATTCTCTGAGGCACCCATCCTCGTTCCAGAAGTTTCCTGCTAGTGAAGGAGATAGGAAAACAGAAAACCCAGGGGTTCCGAGGATCTATCCCTGAGGTGTGAACCTGAGCCTTCCAGACACCCTAAGCCTGTTCACAGGGATAGCCTGGTCTGTGTCAGCTCCATGTCACTAACTCCCCTCCTCCCAGGCTGGCATGGGGCAAGCCCAAAGTCTCCAGATTTCTCAACAGATCCCCATCCTCTATCTCTGGTATAAACACTGGACCCAGACCCACAGCCAGGCCCAGGCAGGGACACACAGATATCATACAGAGCCCCTGGGACACACAAATGCACATACAGGCCCTCATGGATACACACACACATGCATGGACCCCATGGTTGTCCACGTGTCCACGCTGGCCTCCATGGATACACACACAGAGTTAAGAACACACAGGGACACGTATGTATATTCACGTAGGAGGACATGTGGCTTGGATTAAGGAGGCAGCATCTAGAATGAGCCTTTCTTTCTATGTTGACTACGTAATACAGTTTTTTTTTTTAAAGATTTTATTTATTTATTTATTTATTTGACAGAGAGAGATCACAAGTAGACAGAGAGGCAGGCAGAGAGAGAGAGAGAGAGAGAGAGAGGGAAGCAGGCTCCCTGCTGAGCAGAGAGCCCAATGCGGGACTCGATCCCAGGACCCTGAGATCATGACCTGAGCCGAAGGCAGCGGCTTAACCCACTGAGCCACCCAGGCTCCCCATAAAACAGTTTTTAAAGCCTGAAGCACCCACAGTCTTGTTTGGTTCTTACAGAGGCTCTGGGTTGGGGGATGGGAGGACCCCATCTGGAAACTTCCAGGTGACTGATGAAGAAACTGACACTCTGAGGGCTGGGAGAAGAGAGTTTCCTCTCTCTTCTCCCAGTGAGAAGTGGCCAAGCCAAACTTGGAGCTGAGATTCTGGGTCTGTGAAAGGCCTCTGTCCCATCAGCCTAGACTTTCTGACTCTGGGCCCTTGCTCAGCAAGGATTCTAGGCCTCTGCCCCATCCCTCTGCCTCCTCTAGGACTTTCTGCTGTCCCCAAAGGGTGCCAAGGGCACCTGAGGGACACCAGAAGATGAACCCACAATCTCCAGGATATAGGTCTAAAGGTAGATTTTTCTCAGGTTCCAGCTGAGGTCTAGCTGGAGGTGCCAAGGGGGTAGTTTGTGTTTATGGGCTCTCTGCCACCTTGTCTGGAGACAGGGGGTGACTGTTGGCGCAGTGGGAGGAGATGCTTGCCCTCCCCCCAGTCTAGGGACGCTCATAATAGGATGATTCATCTCTGCTATCCACTCCCAATTCCAGTCCGGAGCCAGCCCCCAACTCTTGAGGCCTAGGAGCAGGAATAATGTCCAGCAGTGGCCTAAGAGTGGGACACATTCTAGAAAGGGAGCTCAAGTGTGGAGAGACTTAGTGGGTTCCTATGTTCTGGCTCCCCACTCCTCCTACGCCTCAGACCTGAGGCTCCTGGCTTCTCTGCCCTTCTCTACCTCTCCTCCTCATCCCCATGGGGCTTGAGAATCCCAGCTTAACACTTAGTGGCTGAGACCTTAGCAGGTAACTTCTTTTCAAACCTCAGTTTTGTCCTCTGTGAAGCGGGGAGGGATACACTCATTTTGGGGGGTTGCTTTGCAAATGGGGGGATGTGCTTTCTAAATTTGAAAATGTCTGCATGTCTGCTTTAGTCTGCCACTCCCCCGATCCACTCCAGTGCTCTGGAGGAGACTAGGGGGTTTGAAGAGGCTGGGAGGACTGTAGCATGATTTGTTTTCCAATGTCTACACTCTTTTCTACCCCACTTGCTGACAGCAAGAACCATGTATCTTCTGATGGTTCAGGCCGCTCCTACTGAAGCAGAAAGAGTTTGGGGGGCAGGAAATGAAGGGTGTGCCACCATATCCCTGCCCCCTTACAGGGCCCCAGCCGGCCGCTCTGGTCCAGCAGGCTGGGACCTGCATCTTTAGCCCTTCCCTTGCCTGGGAACCCACTCCCCCAGCTCTGACCTCAAGGAGTCACAGCCTCCCACAGGGTGGATGGGCTGTCAAGGCCCCTTCCTGGGCTCAGCCCTCCCGCCCAGGTGAGACACAGACCTTGCTCAAGACGCCCTGGGAGGAGGTGGTGCCTCATCTGCATCCTCCCAGAGCTCCCAGGTGGGCTGGCTTCTAGCCTGCACTTGGCACTGGTTTTCCTTCTCAAAGCACAGGAGGGAGCCCAGAGGGCTATAAGTAAGCTATGTGACTCAGAGCCAGGTCCTACCAAGCTTCAATCACTTCTCCATGAAGACATGCTTCTTTCTATCTTTTGCCCCAGGGGGCGCCATTGACATTGAACTATAATGCCCTACAGTGAGGTCCGGCTTCAGCCCCCAAACTCAGGCCAGCCTGGCACTTCTGGACAAAATCCCCAGGTCCTGACCCCTCTTAATCCCACATGAGGACTTGTAGGAATAAGGGACCCTTGGAAGGAATTGTATCCTTTCCCCTCTTTCAGGCCGACTAAGAAGCACGAAGCCCCTACCCATATCTTATCTTCTTAGCTCTGACCCAAACCATCCCAATGTGCATGCATATGCATATGTATTTGTATGAATGTGTGTGTCCACGGGAATTTTAGATAGGGATGAGTTTGATGGGAGCACTTGGTGCAGCACATGTGAACACCTATAAGCTGAGTACAAACACGCGTGTTTAGGGGCCTTGTGTGTGCCTGCTGGTGGCAAAGCTGCCTCTGTATTTCTCCTGTGCTCCGCTTCCAGGCCAGGCTAGGATGGGCCACGGTGAGGATGAGGTGCTCTGGGCTGGGGTTCCTTACTTTCTTCTAGTGCTGAGGAGCTCCTTGCCAGTTCCTGTCCTTTGCTGCCTTTGCAGCCCCATCTGAGGAATCGAGGGGCTGAGAAGCACAGCACATGATGGGGAGAAGAAAGGGCAGCACCGTGGAGGGTGTGCCCCATATCCACAGTCTGGGCTCTGGCATCAGGAGTCTAGGGTTGCATCTTGAGTCACAGACTGGCAGTGGGGCGGTGGGTAAACACAGTAATGTGCCCCTGATTCACCATGGGGCCTCCCAGCCCATGGGGGCCTGGGGAGTGGGGGTGCTTCTCCTTGGGCCTTGGGGAGACCTTTTGTGTGGGTTACGTATATGTTTAAGCTCATGGCAAGGCTCTCACGTGAATGGGATCCCATGAGCATGTAAACAGAGCTCAGTGTTTATAGGTGTGAGTGGCTGCCAGCTTTAGGATGTCTGTGTGTGTGCACGTGCATGTGTGTAAATTTTCCCAAAGTGTGTTGCTAAATCTCTGGGCATGAGTCATCTCTGGAGCCCTCATTTCTGACAGCCACCCCGCAAGGGATAAGTCCCCAGGGGATTTAGACCACCTGGATTAAGGACCTCTCCAAAATGTGGTCTCCTCAAACCCATGGAAGAACAGCCCAGGCAACCACACCTCAATTTCCCAATTATTAAATGCACTATGGGGAGCAACATGGCCGCATCAGATGGCACTTCAGATGGCCTCATCAGGTGGCACCTCACCTCAGATGGGGCCGGCAACCCTCACAGTTTAGCCAGCTTAACCTCTTAAAGGGTCAAACTTTCCCCTGGCTGGGGATCAGTGAAGAGTGGGGGAAGGGAGGGTTAAAAACAGTTGGGACTCACCCTGCTGGCAAGCATATGGCACGTGGCGTGTCAGGACAACTGCCGCTCGGCCTCTGGAGCCATGTGCAAAACACAGGCAGGTCCATGTGTGGCAAATTGAGTTAAGCCAGCCAGGTTGGACAGGCACATGCACAGCCATGAGAAATGTCCAAGTGCGATCTGGTACACAGGTCAGACGCCATGTGTGGACACAGCTGTGGACAGAGCTGGTCAGGACATGCAACATGGGACAGGTAGTCAGCACAAGGAACCACGGCCCATGAATGCTCAGTATATGTTCTGTGAGCCCACCCAGGTCCGGACTAGGAGAGGGTCTCTTCACCCTTCCGGGCCCACAGCCTCATCCCTCCAGCCCCCGACTGAGGAGGACTTGCTGGGGCCCGCCATCCTGTAGAGCTGGGTGGGGCCAATCCTTTCCTTTCCGACCTGTCTCTCTCACTGGCACGGTCGTGCGGATGACTGTGGGGCTCCAAGGTCTCTAGTGGCGGCTGCATGCTCCCCAGCCACGGTCCCGCACCCGCCTGTACCCCACCATTACCTCTCGGACCCGCGCAATCCCCTCGGCCCCTAACACGCCTCCTCCCCTAAGTGCCCTCCCCAAGCAACGTCGTCCCTAAAGCTCCTCACAGCCCCCCGCCGCCCCCTCCCTTCCTCCTCAGCTTCCCCCAGCCCAGCGTCGCCACCTGTTTACCCCGGCAAGCTTTGGGGGGCGGCTGCCCATACCTCGGGCGGGCTCGTGGCTCAGCGGGCGGGGCTGCGGGGCGGGCGGGCGGGGCGCGTGCCTCCTGCTCCTATAAAGGGCGCCACCCGGCGCTTCGGGCCACAGCTGCTGGCCCGCCGCGCTCGAGAGTCCGTCCCGCCCGATTCGGTGCAGCTGCAGCCATGGGTCGACAGAAGGAGCTGGTGTCCCGTTGCGGGGAGATGCTCCATATCCGCTACCGGCTGCTGCGCCAGGCTCTGGCTGAGTGCCTGGGGACCCTCATCCTCGTGGTGAGTGGAGGGACTCGGAGAAGCCCTTCTCTCTCCAGCCCCCATGCTCCCCGACCCCTCTGTTCACACTGGAGGCGCTTTTTTTTTTGAGGCAGGCGCCACCCCTCTCCCAGCTTTGCTCCTCACCTTGACCCATTCCAGAGTGGTCTTACCCCTTGCTTTAACCCCGTCATGGCAGTTCTGACTCCTGCCAGAATGCCAGATGTTACTCCCACTGTCAGCTCTGATCAGTGGCCCTCTCACTAGGGCCCCAGCCCACCAGCTGGGGGCAGTGGTTTCCCCTGTAATCTGAGACCTCCAGGGTCCTTTCCTGGTCCTCACCTTCCCAGGTTCCCCGAATCTCAGCCCTGGAAGGCAGTGGAGGCATTGGCAAATGGGCCAGTATTAGATTATTTGGGTCCTGGATATCTGGCCCCTAATGAATAATTAAACTCTAGAAAGTCCAAAAGTTCCTGTGATGTGAGGACAGTTTGCCATGGGTGGGGGCAGAGGGCGGAGGCCACACAGGTGAAAAGAGCAGAGCTGGAAGAAAGGAGGATGCAGAAGATGAGGAGGCCGTGGAAGGCAGGTGGACCCTGGCGCAGAGTATGTGGTGTCACTCTTCCTGTCCTGAGTTGCTCCCAGACCAGACTCTGTCCATCACCCAGACAGATGCTATCATTCTCTGTGCCCAAGCACTCTGAGTTACTCCCCACCCTCTAACTCCCATCTCTGAGTTTGTGGGTTCTCTGAGTAGGCCACTTCACTGCCTGGGTTACTCCCCAGTCCATTTACTCCCTGGTTATACCACTTTTGTCTCTAGGTTGTTCCTGGGTGACTTTGTTTGCATATTTTGGGTCTGACAGACAACACCACTTAGAGTCTCTCATTTCCTGTCCCACCTGCTCTCTGATTTTCAGCCCCTCATGTGGTTACACCTGTTTTCTTCTGGGTTACTTTTGGGTTCAGTTGCTTTAATGGGGTGAATGGGTTATTCTTTTCCTTGCCCCAGCTCCAACTGTAGGTACTGTAGACCAGCCAGCACCCTGTGGACTAGGAGCTTAACTATAGAGGCAAGTAGGTAGGACTGGGGTGGCCCAAATGGGTAGTGGTGGTGGAGCAGGCTCCTTGGTGAGAAGAGGTCTTTTTTTTTTTTTTTTTTAAAGATTTTATTTATTAGACAGAGATCACAAGTAGGCATAGAGGTAGGCAGAGAGGAGGGGAAGCAGGCTCCCTGCTGAGGAGAGAGCCCGATGTGGGGCTTGATCCCAGGACCCTGGGATCATGACCTGAGCCAAAGGCTGAGGCTTTAACCCACTGAGCCACCCAGGCGCCCCGTGAGAAGAGGTCTTAGACTCACCTTTGGCTTCCAGGAACAGCAAGGGAGAAACCAGGTGGGGCACTCATCCACAGCCCCTCACAGGGCTAGTGGCCCTACCGTCATCCTTTTCCTTCTCTCCCCCTGCCTAGAAGGGAAGAGGGGCAGGTGCTTTTCATTGTCCTGTCCCAGAGTCTTGTGTCCTCACTCCCTATCTGATTGATTGTCCAGGACATCCTTGTCCGAGAGCAGCCAGGACAGAGGAAGTCATCTTCCACATTCATAGAAGGGCCTCCAGAACCCCTCACACATCTCTGTTAGCCTCTCCCACAAAGGAGCAGTCAGACCTTTCTCTGAGCCCAGGATCATTTGGCTTATCCTCAACCACAAAAGGAGGGTGTTACTTCTGTGAAGGCTTTCGGGCTCAGGTGAGTGGAAGGCGTCTGGTGTCAGTAAGAAACAGAACCTCAAAGGCTGCCTAGAGAGGAGGGGCTTAGGCCTGGGAGACCCCAGAGTGGTGGTGGGGGGGGCTTGCCTGCATACCTCTGTGGGCTGGGGACCCAGAGCCTGTGGTGGCAAGATAAGGGCTGGCCTTGGGAGGAGGGGAGCCCCTTTCTCTGGGGTACCTAGCAAGGCAGGGAGTGGGGGAGGAGGAGGAAGAAGAGGAAGATTAGCCCCAAGGTGGTGGAACTGGCTCTGACAGCTTCTCCCTCCAAGGTCTCCTGGGATGAAGCCAGGTTTGGGCCTCAGGCAGGAAAAGAGCTGAGGCCAGGGCCTGCCAAGCCGGGCAGGGTGCCCTGGACCCCCGTGTCCCCCCCTGCACCCCCCTCCACATACTCATGGTCTCTGATCTTTGCTCTCACCTGCCTCCACACCTTTGCCCAGCATCACTGCCGCTGGCTTCTCCACTATCTCTTGGTCGTTCTGAGGGATGATAATCAAAATGCTTAACAGCTCAGTACAGCAGGACACTGACCCTTCCGAATGGATAAGGGCCCTTAGCACAAGTCTTGGGAGCTGCCCGCTGGCTAGGCATAACACTTAGTTATGGGGAAGTAGAAGAGGAAGCGTAGGGCAGGGGCTGGAGTAAGCTTTAAGGAACACTCTTCGAGGCTCAGGGCAAAGCTCTTTGTGGCTGGTGCAGCAGCATTTTTACATTTAAATAAGAGGAACAGGGTGTTCTCTACTTGCGGTACATCAGGGACCTTAGTCCTCTTGAATCTCCCCATCACTGCCAGAAACCTTAGAACCAGTCTACCTACTTTGCACTGCCCTGCTGCCTCTAGTGAGAGGGACCACTGAGATACTGTCTTTAGGACCTCCACATGAGTAGGGAACCTGGACCCCTGAAGGTGGAGAGGTCAGGGTGGGTGGAGAGAGGAGGCTCTGGTACAGGAGCAGGGGCTCTGACATTCCAGATTCAGGCCTAACTTCTGGTCTTTTCCCTATTTCTCTGTGCCGTATGACAGCCCCCCCCCACCCCTAAGCTCTTTGGGACAAGGAAGGAGGCATGTGTAGGTGGGGGATTAGTGAGCAGGTGACGGGCTGCAGGAGAAACTGCTAGGTGAAAGCTGCTCCCCTGTACTCCACTCCTACGGAGATTCCGAAAAAGTCAGAGAAGATGGTCCAGTCATTTTTTGGGCTCCCGGTGTAGACTCTGATTCCAGTCCCTTCCATGGGGCCCTGTTAAAGTTTGGGCATTGTGGGTGGGAGGGCATGTCTGCTTACTCTGCCAGGTACAGTTGCTGCAGGAGGGGTGTGGGTTGGATTCCCCTGAGAAGGGCTTCCCCAAAGTCTTCCAGATGACAGCTGGTGGAGGTAGGTGGTGGAATTCACCCGTTTCCTCTGGAATCAGAGAGCTGCTGGGCCTCACTCTCCACCTGCCTGGTTCTGTTTCCTGATACAGATGTTTGGCTGTGGCTCTGTGGCCCAGGTGGTGCTCAGCCGGGGCACCCACGGTGGTTTCCTCACCATCAACCTAGCCTTTGGCTTCGCTGTCACCCTGGGCATCCTTGTGGCTGGCCAGGTATCTGGTAAGGACTTGCTCCCCCTTCAGTCTTTACCCTCAAATGGCATTCCCACAAGGAACCCAGCTGGGGAAGGGGGTGGTGGAAGACCTTCCCAAGGACAAAGCATAGTTGTGGGCTTAGCTTTTTGAGCCTTTGGAAGAGGAGAATGGAGAAGGAACTCAATACTTTGAACCTTTGACTCTCACCTTGGAATCCGATGGAGGTTGGCCTATTACATAGTCCAGCCTATCCTCTGGTACAGGAAAACCCTTCTCTGCACCCCTGCTTACGAGGGCCAGAGAGGGGGACTAGGGAGGTTAGGGATCCTGGCTTCCCCACTGTGGCAAGCTACAGTGACTAATAGGTCCCATCTCCCCTCTGCCCAGGGGCCCACCTGAACCCTGCTGTGACCTTTGCCATGTGTTTCTTGGCGCGTGAGCCCTGGATCAAGCTGCCCATCTACACCTTGGCTCAGACGCTAGGAGCTTTCCTGGGCGCTGGGATTGTTTTTGGGCTGTATTACGGTGAGCATTCCCCACCCTGCCATCCTCCACTACCTCCCTCCCTCTGCTTGGGACCTGTTGGCACCCGGCCTTTTGATGATAGACAGCTGGGACCTGCCCAAGCCCCAGGCTCTTGACTCACTCATCTCCCTCACGGGCCCAAGGTGGGGGGCATCAGGGGAAGGAAACAAGTTGGGCAACAATAGAGTCCCAGGCTGTCCACCCTCCCACCCCCTGCCCCTCCACAGACTCCTGAGTAGTAACAGCAGTGATGTACCTCACCTGTGATCCCCCAGGAGGGTGGGTCCAGCCGGAGACGGGAGAGCGGGTCAGCTTCTCCCTTCACTCACTCTGGGTCTCATCTGTCACCAGATGCAATCTGGGACTTTGCCAAGAATGAGCTCGTGGTCTCGGGCCCCAATGGCACAGCTGGCATCTTTGCCACCTACCCTTCTGGACACTTGGACATGGTCAATGGATTCTTCGACCAGGTATGGGCCAGGGAATTGGGAACACAGGGGAGGATCAAGCTGCTCAGCTGCTCATGGGTGGCAGGAGGACAGGACTCCTTGTCTACAGCAGGGTTTCTCAGTTGGGGTTTGGGGTACACCTACCTCACAATCATGGCTGCAGGTACTTACAAAACAGGAATTGGCATCTTTAGCCAGTTCTCCAGGGAATCCCTTTTGCTCGATCACATTCTAGCACCCTTGCTGGAAAGAGCTGAATATGGGAAATGGTAAGACTCTGGGAGCCCAAGGACAGAGGAAGGATCAGATGGTGGGATGGGAGTAGCTCCTCACTCTGTTCTCCCCACACTCCCCAGTTCATTGGCACTGCCTCCCTCATCGTGTGCGTGCTGGCCATCGTTGACCCCTACAACAACCCCGTCCCCCGCGGCCTGGAGGCCTTCACCGTGGGTCTGGTGGTTCTGGTTATCGGCACCTCCATGGGTTTCAACTCGGGCTATGCTGTCAATCCCGCCCGGGACTTTGGTCCCCGCCTTTTCACCGCCATTGCTGGCTGGGGCTCCGAAGTCTTCACGTGAGTGCATCCCCCACCCAGCCTGCCCTAGCCTGACACCCCTCTGCTGCCCCACCCGCCCCCAACTGCCTCTGTCTGTCCCCAGGACTGGCCGCCACTGGTGGTGGGTGCCCATCGTCTCTCCGCTCCTGGGCTCCATTGCGGGCGTCTTCGTGTACCAGATCATGATTGGCTGTCACCTGGAGCAGCCTCCACCCGCCACTGAGCAGGAGAATGTGAAGCTGGCCCATGTGAAGCACAAGGAGCAGATCTGAGTGGGCAGGGGCCCCCTCCCCACCCCCTCCCTCGAGCACCCACAGACTGTGCAGGGGCTGCTGCCTAGAAGCCTTCATGGCTCCCTCCCAGATGGAGAAGCTCCTGGTCTACTCCCACTCCAGTGGACAGCCCCCTTGGGGATTCTCCCCAGGACCCTCCCCAAATGGGCCATTAGGACACTGTCTTTAAGCAGTGGTGGGACAGGGAGTAGGGCCAACGTACCTTTAGTTTCCCAAAAAGAATGGGCTGTGTGTGTGTGTGAAGTTTCTAAGACATTCAGGGCAAGGGAACAAGTGGAAAGGATACTAGCTGTGGGGGGAGCCCAGAGGAAGGGAAGGGTCTGTCTGCGGTGTGTCCATCCCATCAGTGAGTGAGGAAAGTGTGAGAGGTCTGCATGTTTCAGGGGCTCCGTGTGGAGAAGGGTCCAGATATATGTGTTCTGAGTATGGGTGTGTATGTGCCCTTTTTCCTAAGCAGGGGACTTCTCTAGATTTTAGGGGAGGGAGGGTGGGACTATGGAGGGAGGGTGGGGCAGAGGAGGCCACAGCCCAGGTGTGTGTGGAGCTCGGAGCTCTGGCTGTATATAAGTAGGAACTGAGAACATAATTCTGTCATAATGTAGGCACAAGGGTGGTGGGGTGAAGTCCAGGTCGTAAGTTTCTCGTGCTTGATTTTTTTTTTTTTTTTTTTTAAATACAGCAGATGTTTGTTTTAGGGATGGGGGTTGGGAGACTCTACTTAAAATAGGGTCTTTACTCCTTTAATCCTCCACTCAAAAAAAGTATTCTTTCTCCTTTTATATAAAAAAAACCAATAAAATGTGTGCCTAAAACTGCCAGTTGTGCGAATTTCTCCCAGCTTGCTCCGCTGCTATTCTGGGGCTAGCTAAGGCGCTTCACTACGTCCAGCCACAAACGCCGGCCACAGGGCCCCTCCTTGGCGTTTGACCTGGCCAGGGCAGCAGCCTAGGGCTAGTACTTGGGGGCCCTGCTGGTGGGGTCAGGGCAGGAGTCAGTCCCACAGACCGGTCAGAACCTCTTCACCAAGCCTTTCAGTTTGAACTCCGTGGCCCCACACTTCCCCCAAGCTTTGAACCTCTTGCACAATGAGCGGCAGATCTCCTTCCTGACTCCTGCACCCACCCACCATCCCCTGAAAGCAGGCTTGAACCTGGCTTAAGAGAAAAACATTTTCTCAGGTAGAGCTGGCCAAAGGGAAGGAGGACTGCTGCTCAGGAAGTAGTGAGCTTCCTATTGCTGGAGGAAACCAATCCGACCATGGCCCTGAATCGTCTTCTATAGCTTGCTGTTGAGGCTCTATCACCTCCACCCCAACCTTGGCCACAGCCCCTTTAGCGGCCCCCCTGGCGCCGGGCCTGCCCCAGCCAGACTCTATAGGAGCAATGAAGGATCTTTCTGACACCACTGTTGAAGTGGGCTTCTGTCCATGGCTCTGCCCGCTCTTTAGACACAACCCAAAACACTCCTGCAATCAGCGCCCCCACGACTGGGCCCGTGGTTCCTGTTTGTCCTCTCACCATGCTCCGTCGCCCGCAGACTCCTCGGTGCCCTTCTGTGCCTGCCTCCCTTTGGACCTTTGCTCCAAAGTGTTCACTTCGGAACTCTTCCTGGTCTTCTCTAGCATCTCCTCCAGAAAGTCATCCTTGCTCTTCCCACCCTTCCACCATTTTCTAGAGTCAGTCGTCTGAACTCAGGGACCACATTTAATCCTGCCTCCCCCTCTTTTCAGTTCTTCAGTCTAACACTTCTGCTGCCCGTAAGCCTGGGATGGGACCTACTGACGCTGGTATCTTGACTGCCCCCAGGGAGGCAAGGGGCTCTGCACACCTGAGCCCAGGAAGCTCTGTGAGGAAATCATGTGCTCCTTCTCACCTTCTCCTTCCCTACCTCCTTACCAGATGCTCTTCAAGTTTCACTGGGAATAAAAGGGAAGGCGGGCCAAAGCTTAGCCCTCCTGCAGAGTTAACTCCATGGCAGCCAGAGGATCTCTGGGTCTGGCAGGAGAAATGTGGACTTTAGAGATTAAGCTGGTGATCCCCAACCACGTCATAGATGAGGGGACTTGGTCCAGAGAGGGTGGGTGGCAAATGCAGGACCACACAGCCAAGACTCTGGCGATGGGAGAATGCAGTTCCATCTCAGGTCTCCAACCCCTCCTTGTCCACAGCTCCCAAGAGGTGTGTCTGGAATGTTGGAGAGACCTGAGCCAGAGGGAGTGTCCCCTTCCCAGGCCCTGCGGGGAGGAAGGGCCACCTTTGGGAGGGGAATGTGGTTTCAGAATTTCATTCCAGCTACACCAGTCCTACCTCTGGTGCCCCTAATCTGCCGTCCTCCCCAGCATGCCCCAAGCCTTCTCAAATCCTGCAGCTGATCTGGACCAGTCAGCCCCGAGAGTGGCGGGAGGCCCTCTGGTGCAGTGGTTAAAGAGTAGTCAAACCTGGATTCCAGGCCGAGCTTGGCTTCTCTTTAGCGGTTTGACTTTGGGGTGGTCATTTTTCTTTCCCTGAACCTCAGTTTCCTATGAATTGGGAGATACTGAGTCGAGGAGGTAGTGAAAGATAAGTCATGAAAAGCACTTAGCAGAGTGACCAGCAGAGAGCAAATAGTCAATAAAAGTCACCTTAAGATTTTTCCAGCAGAATTGGGGAGGAGGGGATGGCGGTGGTGGAGAGATGCTGAAGGCTGTTTTTTAAAGGTCACTGAATTCAACATCCTCTTCCGCCTCAGATTCTTTCCATGGCTTCTGAATTTCCTGAGACGGGGAGGAGGAATGGGGGTGATAGTTTGCTGTGCTCTGACTTGAGGGGCCTTTCCAAGAGGGATCAAAGGGAAACACAAGAGGGTCGCATGCATAGGTGAAGGGGAACAGGCAGCGCAAGGAATGTGTTAGACGGAGGGTCAGACCGCCTGAGAAGGGGTGGGGCCTGATCAGGTCCAGAGCAGGAAGTCAGGGCAGGGTCTGGTAGGGACAAGAACCAAGCCGCAGTGTGCGACCCCTCCAGGCATGGGAGGGAACCTTCCCCCCTCCCCACTCCTGTCCAGGCTCTGCCTCTCATCAGTAGTTCTAGCTGATAACAAGTCAAAGAAATGTCTTCATCTAGTTTAGGAAAGTATTTTAATCCACTTTCCAAGGTGGGCTTGGAGGGAGTATCACCTTGCCAGAGGGTAAGGACCTCAGCTCTGTCCTTCCCATCTCCAGTCCTTTGAGCCCCCTCCACCGCTCACTTTGGAGTCACCTGCGTTTCTTTAAAGTTCTAACTTGTTTGTATAGAAATCAGCCTCCCTGGTGCGGGCCAAGATGGAGGAGCAGGCCAACCAGATGCGCCAGCAGGCCGAGGCCTTCCAGGCCCGCCTCAAGAGCTGGTTCGAGCCCCTGGTGGAAGACATGCAACGCCAGTGGGCTGGGCTGGTGGAGAAGGTGCAGGCGGCCATGGGCACCAGCCCCACCACCGCCCCGCCGGTGGAGACACACTGAGTGGGCCCCTCCCGCGCCGCGTGGTGTGCCCCGCCCCTGCCCGCACCCCTACTCCCCTGGCCCCGCCCCCGCTGTCCTGCGGGAGGGCCCTCGCTTAATAAAGATTGACCAACCCCACCGCAAAAAAAAAAAAAAAAAAAAAAAGAAATCAGCCTCCCTGAAACCTGAGCTCGGTTCCTGTTTCCTTGTGTGCCTGCCTCTGTGTGTGTGCACATGTGCGAGTGTGCATTTCTCAGTGTTTCTGGGTGTGGCTGGCTTTCAGTATCTTATTATGTCTCTGTGGATCTGTGGCTCTGGCCGACCACGTCTCTGCCCCTTTCTGTGTTTCTGTCACTGCCTGGCTCTTTGTATCTGGGTCTTTCTTTGTGTACCTCTAAGTGAACATCTCGTGTACCTCAGCCCTTCTGTGTACAGCTTACTTAGGAGTGACTCTCCTGCCAGCCCAGTCCCGCTCGTCTGACCCCAGGGCATGCCTCCTCCTTAATTCCTGGTAATGAGCTCCCTCCTTGTTGCTAACTCTTTCCCCTTGATTTTGTTTGTCTGAAAACCTGGGTGGGGCTCCCCCAGGCTTGGGGAAGCTTGGGTGGGGTAGAGTTGGGTGGGGTGGGAAGGGGAGAGTAGGGATGACTCCAGCCCAGGAAGAGACCCCAGAGGCCAGAGGTGCCCTTGATCTTCCAAGGAAGGGGCTGTGGGGGTGCTAGCCTAGGCAAGGCCCTGAAAAGCCTCATTGGGAGGAGGGAGCCTTTCCTGGGGTGGGTCCCCGAGTTGTGGGCCAGGGAATGCTGGTAGTGCAAAGAGAGGAGAGGCTGAGGCACTGGGGCCCTCAGGGAGACTGAAGGGGGGCTCACTGTAGAACACCTCTGAATCCTAAATGGATAGCAGCTGGGGGTGGCCTCTGGGACTCAGTATCACCTGAGGCCTCATGCTTTGGTGCCAGGTTTATTTGAGGTAAAGGAGAGAGTGGCAGTGGGAACAGAGGCTCTTTCTGGTCTCTTGGCTCCTTGGCTGTCCCAGAGTGGCATGAAGGGGAAACTGAGACCCAGAGTCTCACTCAGGATCTCAGAGCAGCACGGCAAAGCCTGCATTAGAATCCACTCTCCTGCCCCTAACCTGGCTGCCTGCAGCCCCTTTCCAGACAGTGCTTTGCAACAGCTCAGGGAGCAAGGCTTCGGGTCCAGCTCCCCAGCCCTACCAACCTGTGGGACCCTAGGCATGTGGAGTTCTCCATTTCCCCCACATGCAATCTCTGGCCTGCTCTATGCCGAAGGATGCTAATATCTATGGAGTGCACCCCATGGGCCATCTTGCTGCTGGCTTACCTTGGCTTTGGCAAACTGGAGACACAGGCAGGAAACCAGAGGGCAGGGCAGATGGAGTGAGGGGAGAAGTCAGGGCCTTCACACTTTTTCCTGAGCTTTCACTGCATCCCAGTAACACTGCTCTGTTTGGCTGCCTGCTCTCAGTCCTCAGGCTTGTTTGTACCTGTGACCCTGATGGTGCCTCTGTATGTCATCCCATCCACAAGCTCACGTCATTCAGGCCCTCTGAGGATACACTGTTCCCGCTGGATCCCTGACAGAGTCCCCCTCTCTGCTCTTCAGTTTCTTCATCGGTGCAATGGGAATAGTAACAGTCCCTCATTGCATGAGGTAAAGATTAAGTGAGTAATGTCTGTATACAGCAATGCCAGATGCAGAAGTAAGTGCTACAGAATGTAAAATAATATTATTATTACTGTTATTATCATGCTTCCTTGTGAGCTCCCTGTATACTGTGGGGAGGGAATGTGTGAAGCCAAGGTTGGTTTGGAGAGAAGTGCCTGACTCTCCAAGGCCCTCTCTTGAAGCTCCAGGCTGTTAGCCACTTCTGTGGGGCCTTAGTCAGCCAGGGGTCTAGCTTCAGTCCCTCCAACTCACTTGAACCCAGCTTTCCCTGAGAGGACTGGGGTGAGGGGAGATGGAAGCCAGAGCCCCCTTCCCACCCTGGCTCTTCTCCCGAAAACTCAGG